CACCATGGTCCCACCACGGTCCCACTCTCCCCACTTTCCCCACGGTCCCCACCACTGTCCCACTGTCCCCACTGTTCCCATCACTGTCCCACTGTCCCCAGTGTCCCCGCCGCTGTCCCACTGTGCTGTCCCACTGTCCCCACCGTCCCCACCACCGTCCCACTGTCCCCGCCACTTTCCCCACTGTACAGCTGTCCGCACAGTCCGTCACCGCGGCGCCTCATGCTGAAAAAAGGGGAATCCTGTTGGGTGGCGCTACGTCCTCGGACCCCCGAGGGGCGCCACACCTTCACGACTGTCCACACCACTACGGTCCCCACCACTGTCCCACTGTCCCCTCACCACTGTCCCCACCACCACCGTCCCCTCCACTGTCCGCACCACTGTCCCACTGTCCCCACACCATTGTCCCCACCACCACCTTCCCCACCACTGTCCCAGTATCCCCGCCACTGTCCAACTGTCCCGAGGAGCGGGAATCGTTTGCCGGCGGCGAGGGTGGGGGTAGGTTTGAACTGGCAGTGACCCCCCCGGTTTTCGAGAGGGGGGGTTCGAACAGGTAGAGAACCCCCTCCCCCTTTTCATGATGGACTGGGGGGGGGGTTCGAACCGGTAGTGGCCCCCCCCCGATTTCCGAGGGGCGGGCGGGGGACGGGTTGGGAACCCCCAGTGACCCCCACCCAGTTTTCCGCCAGAAGCGGTAGAACACGCTCTGTCGAGGCTTTGGATGCACTCTTTCGGCCCTTGCCGAGGCAATCTCTACCAAATTGGAGATGGTTGCTTGCCTGCGCTGCCCTTGCCTGTGGCCACTCGCACCGTTGCGAGGCCAATAAGGGCGGGAAGGTCTTCGGACAAGGCCTGGCCACTTGCGAGTTCGATGTTTGCGAGTTTACTTGGCATCGTTTAGCTGTGCGTGAAATGGTGGTCGTGCCTCCAGCTGTGCTCTACTTCTTCCGCTTCCTTTCCTCCTCCTCTCCCCATTCCCTCTCCTCCTCTCCACCTCCTCGCACTCCCTTTTCTCCCACCCTGCGCCCTAGCCCTCCCGCCATCCCCCTCCGTCCTTCTCCGCCTCCTGTCCTTTTCCTTCCCCACCCCCCTCTCTCTCCCTCCCTCCCTCCTTGTCCTCTTCCTCCCCCTCCTCCTCCTCCTCCTCCTTCTCCCCCTCCCCATCCTTCTCCTCCTCCTCCTCCTCCTCCCCCCCACCCTCCTCCTCCCCCTCTCCCCCTCCTCTCCTCCTCCATGGCCATTTTGGTTGTAGTGCCATGACACAAGCAAGCGGGCCCCGAACGGTTTACGTAGAGAACTTGGTTGGATTTTCGGGAGAACCGCAGTATCCAGCATGACAGTAGCGTTTGCCAGTGACCATCCGTCAGCGAGAAGTTGTCAGAGCATGCCAAACATATGGGCCCCAACATTACAGAGTTCAGTATTTGACCCTTATATGTCTTGGAGTATAGGCCAAGTGGCCCGTTGTCAAACGATGACGATGCATTGCTACCAACAGTGCCAGCACCGTATCGACACAGTGACGGACACATTGAGCGAGACCATTGGGCGAATGAGTGTAAAATTTGATTCCGCAGTGCTCAAGAGCAGAGTTCCAGTTGAAAGCAACAACATGAAGCATGCTAACGGTTCAACTTTGCTGGGGAGAACGGGCGCGATTGCGTCCCATACTTGAGAGGCTCGTTATGAGCCCCTTGGAATACATGATACGGAGGCGGACAAGCTGAACACGGCGTGGGCACTTGTAGCGGAAACAGTGGTCGCAGGCACGAGGTCACATTTTCTGACACCGTTCAACCTTATTGCGGAGCTTGCGGTTAGGAGTCGGCAGCGCTTCCTGGCGAAATGCGATCACATCCAAGAGCGAGTTGGCATACTCGTTACGAGAGACATAATCATATGCGATACATGTTGCGGTGTGTTTGGATGAGTGCCCGAGAGATCCCGCACAACATTGAAAAGGGGTGGATTCAACACAAAGTATGACAATACCAACGAGATGTTTTTCTGGTACGATGTCACTTGGACGCTGCACAACGGTACTGGCGGCCAGTTTTGCAAGTCAGAGTTGTTTCTCGAATCCATGGCAACTGTGTTCAACGCCAAAGAAGCATGACATTGTCATCTATGGCCGCTCGCTGGCGCGTACAGCAGCTTCTCTTCTCCTTCGCCTCCCCCTCCCACTCCTCGTCCTCTCTTCCTCCTCCTCATCTTCCTCCCGTTCCGTCTCCTCCTCGCGCTCTCTCCCTCATCATCCTCTTCCTCCCGCTCCGTCTCCTCCTCGTCCTCTATCCATCCTCCCCCTCCTCTTCCTCCCGCTCCGTCTCCTCCTCATCCTCTCTCACCCTCTTCCTCCCGCTCCCTCTCCTCCTCGTCCTCTCTCCCTCATCCTCTTCCTCCCCCTCCCTCTCCTCCTCGTCCTCTCTTCCTCATCCTCCTCTTCCTCATCCTCCTCTTCCTCCCACTCCCTTTCCTCTTCCTTATCCTTATCTTCCTCCGCCTCGTAATCCTCCGCATCGTCCTCCTCCTCGTCCTTCCTCGCCCCCTCCGCCTTCTTCTCAGCGGCGTCCTCGTCTTTCTCCTCGTCCTCGTCTGTATCCTCGTCTTCGTCCTCCCCGTCGCCGCTCCACTTGCTCTTCTCTCTTCCTGTCCCTTCCTCTTCTTCCAGAGGCCACAGAGAGAGGCGAGCATCGAGGGGGGGACACGTGTCACTGCTTCCTCTGTCTTCCATCATTTTCTTGAGGCGTTTCCCAACCATCCTGTGGTGTTGGGACCTCGTTTTGAAGAAAGCGCCCCGCGTTCTCACTCATCCCGCTCCTCCCTCCTCCCCCTCCTCCTTCCTCCCATCTCCGCAGTTCGCATGCGTCCCCCCCCGCCCAGTACAGCGTTTCGTGGCCCCAGAGGGGGTTCCAACGACTGTCCCAGTAGCGCAGTCCGCATGCGGTTCCCCCGCCCAGTACAGCGTTTGCGTTTCGTGGCCCCCGAGGGAGTTCCACCGAAGGTCCCAGCGGCGCAGTCCGCATGCGGTTACTGCGCCCAGTACAACGCTTCGTGGCCCCATAGGGAGCTCCACCGAAGGTCCCATCGGCGCAGTCCGCATGAGGCTCCCCCCACACAGTACGGCGTTTCGTGGCCCCAGAGGAAGTCCCAACCAAGATCTTAGTGGCGCAGTCCGCATGCGGCTCCCCCACACAGTACAGCGTTGCGTGGCCCCAGAGGATGGAGCTCCACTGGAGGTCCCTCTGGCGCAAGTCCGGATGCGATTCCCCCGCCCAGCACAGCGCTTCGTGGTCCCAGCGGGAGCTCCACCGAAGGTCCCAGCGGCGCAGTCCGCATGCGGTTCTTGCGCCCAGCTGAGCGTTTCGGGGCCCCAGAGGGGGCTCCACCGAAGGTCCCAGTGGCGCAATCCGCATGCGGTTCCCCCGCCCAGTACAACGTTTCGTGGTCCCAGAGGGAGCTCCACCGAAGGTCGCAGTGGCGCAGTCCGCATGACGTTCTCCCGCCCAGTACAGCGTTTCGTGTATCCCGGGAGCTCCGCCGAAGGTCCCAGTGGCGCAGTCCGCATGCGTTTCCCCCGCACAGTACAGCGTTTCGTGGCCCCAGAGGGGGCTCCACCGAAGGTCACAGCGGCGCACTCCGCATGCGGTTCCTGCGCCCAGTACAGCGTTTTGTAGCCCCATAGGGAGCTCCACTGAAGGTCCGAGTGGCGCAGTCAGCATGCGGCTCCTCCACAGAGTACGGCGCTTCGTCGCCTTAGCGGGAGTTCCACCGAAGGTCCCAGTGGCGCAGTCCGCATGCGGTTCCCCCACACACGGTACAGCGTTTCGTGGCCCCAAATGGAGCTCCACCGAAGGTCCCAGTGGCGCAGTCCGCATGCGGTTCTCCCTCCCGCCCAGTACAGCGTTTCGTGGTCCCACAGGGAGCTCCACCGAAGGTCGCAGTGGCGCAGACCGCATGGGGTTCTCCCACAGAGTACAGCGTTTCGTGTATCCCGAGGGAGCTCCGCCGAAGGTCCCAGTGGCGTAATCCGCATGCGGCTCCCCCGCACAGTACAGCGTTTCGTGTTCCCAGAGGGAGCTCCACCGAAGGTCCCAGCGGCGCAGTCCGCATGCGGTTCCCCCGCCCAGTACAGCGCTTCGTGGTCTCATAGGTAGCTCCACCGAAGGTCCCAGTGGCGCAGTCCGCATGCGGTTCCCCCACAAAGTACAATATTATTTCGTGGCCCCAGAGGAAGCTCCACCGAAGGTCCCAGCGGCGCAGTCCGCATGCTGTTCCCCCTACACAGTACAGCGTTTCGTGGCCACAGAGGGAGCTCCACCGAGAGTCCCAGCGGCGCAGTCCGCATGCGGTTCCTGCGCCCAATGCAGCGCTTCGTGGTTTCATAGGTAGCTCGACCAGAGGTCCCACTGGCACAAGTCCGCATGCGGTTCCCCCACAGAGTACAACGTGTGGTGGCCCCAGAGGAAGCTCCACCGAAGGTCCCAGTGGCGCAATCCGCATGCGGTTCTCCAACACAGTGCAGGATTTCGTGGCCCCATAGGGAGCTCCACCGAAGGTCCCAGTGGCGCAGTCCGCATGCGGTTCCTGCACCCAGTACAGCGTTTCGTGGCCCCATAGGGAGCTAGGGAGCTCCACCGAAATTCCCAATGGCGGAACTCGTGTGAAATTCCTGCGCCCAGTACAGCGCTTCCTGGCCCCAGAAGGGGGCCCAATGCAAGGTCCCAGCGGCGGAACTCGCATGCGGTTTTCTCGTTCAGTATAGCGTTTCGTGGCCCCAGAGGGAGCTCCACCGAAGGTCTCAGTGGCGGAACTCGCATGCGGCTCCCCCGCCCAGTGCAGCGTTTCGTGGCCCCAGAGGGAGCTCCAGGGAAGACGATACCCACAACTGCAGCACTGACCACTGCATATGGTTGGACTCTACGCCAAGCTAATGTTTGGAAGGGGACGGCTAATGGTCGCGCGGCCTGGGCACATGCCTGCCCCAACGCCCGCAGGCTTATCCGAACCCGTACAACGCCAGAAAACCCGCAGGCGCGGGGGGCTCCAATCAGGCAGGAGAGCTGAAGGGACGAGGTCCAGGAGAGAAGAGAGGACGGACGAATGAGGAGGATACGGGGCAGGAAAGGCGACCGGCAGGGAAAGGAGGAGGAGGGAAGAGGAGGAGGAAAAGGAGGAGGTGGAGGGGGATGGGAAAGAAAGGGAGAGAAAGGGAGGGGGAGGGCAGGGGCGTGCGCAGGTGGGAGTGGGAGGGTCGGGGGGTGGGGGGGTCGGGGAGTGGGGGGGAAGAGACCCGGATGTGGGAAGGTGGGCACATTGGTGTTCCGAGCCAAAGCTGGACCCACTGGCAAGCTGAGGAAACTGGAGCCCGCCCTAGAAGTGCCAGTGAGCATCTCCATCCCTCGTGGACGGCGCTGTCCGTGCCCGAGCGAGGGCCGGGGAGGAGGAGGAGGGAGGGGAGGAGGGAGGAGGAGGAGGAGGAGGAGGGGAGGAGGAGGAGGAGGAGGAGGAGGAGGAGGAGGAGGGGGAGGAGGTGGAGGAGGAGGGGGAGGGGGAGGGGGAGGAGGAGGAGGAGGAGGAGGAGGAGGAAGAGGAGGAGGAGGAGGGAGGAGGAGGAGGAGGAGGAGGAGGAGGAGGAGGAGCGAGGAGCGACGAGGAGCGACGAGGAGCGACGAGGACGACGAGGAGGAGGAGGAGGAGGAGGAGGAGGAGGAGGAGGAGGAGGAGGAGGAGAGGAGGAGCAGCAGCAGCAGCAGCAGCAGCAGCAGCAGGAGGAGGAGGAGGAGGAGGAGGAGGAGGAGGAGCGAGGAGGAGCGAGGAGGAACGATGAAGGGCGGGCGGGCCCAAGGGAGAGATTGAGAAATCAGGGAAGAGGAAGGGGATACTCATAGACGAGGAGGTTTTTCAAGAGGATGAGGTGGAGGAGGAAAAAGAGGATGGATGTGGTGGCGATGATGATGATGCTGATGATGCTGATGATGATGGTGATGATGATGCTGCTGCTGCTGCTGCTGATGATGATGATGATGATGATGATGATGATGATCATCATCATCATCATCATCATCATCATGATGTGTACTTGTCCGAAAATCCTTGAGAGCGTCTTGGGCCTGCCGCAGGGATACGAGTCGCACCGAAGGGGATCTCACATCCGCTGTCCGTCCTGTCTCGGCTCTAGCTTCAAAGGCGCGCGTCCCCGCGGGGGCTCCCGATGCTCGAGTGGGCTCTGCAGCGGGGAGGCGAGTACGCGGAGCAGGGGGTGATCAACTACCTTGCGCGGTACCTGGCCGCGCCTGGCTGCCCGCCCTGCCCTGGGCTGACCTGCCAGACGTGCGGGGCGTGCCAGGTCCCCGCCTGCCCGGGCACGACCTGCCCCGCCTGCCCGGCGTGCCCTGCGCTGGTCTGCCCGGCCGCGGGGGCGGCCTTGGAGGCGTCGGCCTGCCCAGCGTGCCCGGCCTCGCCTGAGGCGGCTCACTGCGGCGGCGGCGGCGGCTGGGGTTTCGCGTGGTTCGTCCTCGGGGCGGCCGTGGGAGCCTCGGGCGCGGCGCTGGTGTTCGGAGGGCTCCAGGCGGTGCAGCGGTGTGCTCGGCGATCGCGGCCCGCGCTATGCGATCGGACCCAGGCAGCGCTCGAGGTGAACCATGGTGACATGGGCGTTTGTGCTGTACATCGGGGCCGGCCAGCGACAGGGGTGGCACCAGAGGCTGGTGCTGGGGGTGGTGGAGTTGTCGGGTAGTAGGTTCCACGTCATCGCCACGCCCAATCGTCACGTCTACGCGGAGGACTACGGCGCGGGCTCCCCCGATGTGGCAGCGGTGCGCTGGGCAGCCGGCTTCCACGTGCTGCCCGACGGCATCTCGCCGGGCGACGTCTACAGGTTCAGGGAGGAGCCGACGGCGGCGCTGCAGGTGGCCGCCTTCACGGCGGCAGCAGTGGCCGAGGCAGCTGCAGAGGCAGCAGCCCTGGCGGCGGCGCAGGGGGTTGCCGTGCCGGCGGACGCCGCGCAGTGCCTGGTGCCAGTGGCGCCGCCCGCGCTGTTCGCCGGGGCGGCTGGGGCCGCGGTGCCGGGGGCGGCGGCCGCCATCGTGCCCGTGGCGGCGGGCGCTCCACCGGCTGCAGCTCCTCCCGCGCGGGTGCCTCCGCCCGCTGGACCGCTCCAGGGCGTCGGAAGTGCGGCGGGGGTTGACGGGCGCGTCGCTCGCTGGGTGGCCGCGGAGAGCTACGGCGGCTACAGGCTATGCGACGAGGTGCCGCGCGTAGCGGGGCCGGCGGCGGTCGGGCCCAAGGAGATCCACCGGCTCGCCGACGGGACGGGGCTGTTCGTGATCTACCTCAGGCCCGACGACGAGGAGGGCTTCCTCGACGGGATCGTGGCGGCGGATGCGCGGATTTCCCCAGTGCGTCGGAACAGGATCGGCCGCCGCGAGCGGACCTGGGCAGACATGTGCGCAGCAGTCACGAGGGAGGACTTCGACAAGGACTGGAGCCTCCCTGGCGTGCGCACGGCGACGTGGTGCCTGGGGCACATCAACACCGAGGGTGGCAGCCTGGACGCCCATCGCGATCGGTTCAGGTCGGCGTGCCGCCTGGAGCCGAATGACTGGGGCGTCGCCGAACACCTGCACCTCGCGGGGGGTCAAAGCGGCGCTCTTGGTCCACCAGCTGGATGGAACCAACTTGGCGTCGATCGAGATGCTGCTGCGGCGCATGCAGACGATAGAGTTCGCCCACCTCCAGCGGGCGAAGGAGGCTGAGTCCAAGGGCTACAGCGGCCGACTCAGCCTCGAGGGGCAGCAGGCGCTCGCGGGTCTCAGTCGTGGCTCGGCCCCCTCGTGATTTGCCCCGAGCTGCTCGACGTCGTTCGCGGCGACGTGGAGCGCGAGGCGCAGCTCAACGAGGCCAACTGGAAGGGTCGCGAGGAGCGCGAGGCCGCCCGCAAGAAGGGGCCAGGGCTGATCCACGATTCGCCCGGGCTTGATTGAGGTCGGCCAGCGCGGCAGTGAGGACGCTGCACGGGCCTCTTTTGCGATGGTTTCTCTTCTTTCCCCTCCTCCCTTCCTCTTCCTCATCACGCGGGGCCGGGCCCCGACCACCGCCTGCGAAGCTTTCAATTACGGGGATGAGCCCTCTCGCCTAGTGCCTCGAGACGTTTTGCCCCTGCCGCGCCCCGCGGTTGAGAGGGTCCGAGGGGCGTTGGGGGGGCCCCCCCGCGGCGTTCGGCAGGGGCCGGGGAAGCGTGAGGGCGTCGAGCTCGACTGCGACCGCGCGGCCTGGGCTCTCAACTCCCTGTATCTTCGCCAGGATCAGCCGACCGTGGGGGCGGGGTCCGATCGTGCAGTTTTTGTTTCCCTGCGCCAGCGGCGCTGTCTCGATCGGATTCGAGAATCGGTCGCTGCCCTAGGTCCGCCCGCCTCCGCCGGAGGTCACTCCCGCAGAAGCTCTCGCGAAGCTTCGCGTGGCGAGCTGGTATGACGTCGACTCTGCCGCCCTCGGTTCCTATGATCTCGCTCGTGTCTCGTTGCTCTCTACCTCGCCGGCACCGGCGCCGCTGGGGGCTCTATGGGGCGCGGGCGGGCTGGAAATGATTAGGGGCTTCGTCCAAAGCCGACTGCTGCCGTCTAGCGAGGCTGAACATCGATTGAAGTGTGCTCAGGTGGTAGTGCCTTGCGTGACCCGAAGCCGCGGGGAGTCGCGGCCATTGAGGAATTTGTCTGGACCTCGCACAGTCCTGGCATGCTCGATTTCAGTTTCTCTTGTAAGGAAAGGGCTGAAGCGTTTTTTGCGCAGAAGAAATCTGGGAAGCTCCGGCTCGTAGTTATCTGTCGTAGAAGTAATTGCCATTTCCAAGACCCCGCCCTGGTGCCCCTCGTCACAGGCGAAGGCCTCGCTGGGCTGGAGCTCGGTGAGGGGGGGGGCCTCTACGTCGGGGGGGGCGACCTTTCGGGCGATTTTTGCCATGTGCAGCTGCCGCTCTCCGTTAGACCGCATTTCGCTTTCAGGGCTGCGCGGGCGGGGGCTGCGGGGCGCGACGGAGCCGGCGGGGAACCTGTGCCTCCAACAGCAATGGTGTGCCCCCGATTGGCAGTGATACCTATGAGATGGAGTTGGGCTCTTTGGATGCGTCAGACAGTTCACGAGTGAATCGCCGAGGGCGCCGGAGCTTCCCCGGAGAACCGCATTGTAGACAAGCAGGCCGCGCCTGGCCTGACCCGCGCGCGTCGCCGAGTACGTGGGCAACTTTATTGCCGTCTCTACCGACGCCGATGCCGTCCGCACTCTCGTTGCTGATGCAATCCGTGCTCTTGAGGCTCGAGGTCTGGTCGTTCGCGCAGAGGAGTACTCATGGGGAGGGCAAGGTGGCGGAGGTGCTAGGGCGGCAGATCGACGGGCCCCGGGGTCGCGCGGCCGCCACCCCGACGCGCTTCTGGAGGGCTCGGCTCGCCATTAGGGCGGTACTCCGTAGGGGTGGGTGCTCTGGGCGTGACCTGGGGCGCCTGCTGGGCCATCTTGTCTTCCTCTCCCTGGCGCGCTGGGAGGGGTCATCGCTCCACTGGTCCTGTTATGCGTTCGCGAGGAAGCATTGCACCCAGGAGGTCCGATTGTGTGGGTCGGTTCGTCGTGAGCTTGCGCTTTGGGGCGGTCTTGCTCTTCTTCTTTGGCGAGATCTTCGGGCGGGGTGGAGCGAGTCCGTCGCGGCCGTTGACGCCGGCGAGGGGCGCCGCACGCTGCGGCGCCCCTCTGGCGCGCAGTGTCGGCGGGACCTCGGAACGTTGGAGATGGGGGGGGGCCGGCGCGGCTCTCGGCCCCCGTCGCCACGCGCTGGACTGCGCTCGAAAAGCTGAGGCGGCGGCTGCCCTCTCGGGGAAGTCGCGCGAGGCGGCTCCTTGGATCGCCGCCGCCCACGACGACCCGGGGCCCAGGCTGGGCCCTGCTGGGCACCCTCGGCCCCCCGTAGCTGGATCAGGTGTCTTGGAGAGCCCCAGGGATGTGCACGGCTTCGGGCGCGCCAAGCGGGTTGTCGAGTTCCCAGAGGTTCCGAGGAGCACGGTCGAGCTCGACTGGTCGGTCGTCGGGCGCTTCCCACGGAGGCGCAAGGGAGAGAGCATCGCGGTGTACGAGGCCCGGGCTACCCTGCATGGTTTCCGACATCTGCTCCGTGCTTCGAACAACTTGGGGAAACGCGCTCTGGTTCTCTGGGGCTCGCAGTCGACGGCGGGGGCCGCTATTAGGTTCCGCAGTGACAGCAAGAGCATGATGATGGTGATGCAGTCGATCGCTGCTCTGTCGCTCGCCACGGGGTCGTCGTTGCACAATCGCTGGCCCCCCTCGGAGTGCAATGCTGCGGACTCCCCGTCGCGTGGCCTGTGGGCCCCAGCTTCGCCGGGCCCGCTCGACTTCGCGAAGCATGCTCCTCCGTCCTCGGACCGCGCCCCCGGCAGTCGCGCATGCTGGGGCGGCGCCTCCGCCCCCGCAGGGGGGCCATCTGCAGAGGCGGGCGTCGGCTCGGGAGGGCTTGGCGGCGAGCCTCTCTTCGTCTGCGCTGGCCGGGGCGATTGGGCCTTCCGCGATGCGCTGGCGGCCCGCTGCAGCGGCGACGCTGGCGGGAGGCGAGTCAGGGCTGGAGGGCGCGCGAGTCTCGCGCGCCAGACGCCCAGGCTTGCGGGGGCAGGTGCAGAAGGAGACGGAGGTAGCCTCGCAGCGTCGCGCCAGGGCCGCGGCCGCGGGCGGTCTCGCCGTCCTGGAGACGGCCTCGCTTCGGCCCCGCACCCGCGACAAGTACCTGTCGCTGTTCGTGGGGTCCCAGACGCGGCTGCGGGGGCCTGCCCCGACGGCGGAGGCCGAGCTGGACGCGCGGCTCGCTAACTGGCTCGAGGTGATGTACCTGAACGGGGACAACCTCGGCGCGGCGCAGTGGGTTCGCGGCGGCGACCTTCTTCACGGGGCTCCAGAAGGCGGCGGGGGCGTTGATGCCGCGCAGCCGCCGGGCCCTCCAGGGCATCAGGCGCCTCGACCCGCCGCCGTCGAGACTGCCGCTCCCGTTGGAGGTAGTGGCTCCTGGTCGCCAACGAGTTGGCGAGGGACGGGCGCCTTGCCAGGAGAGGTGTTCACGGTTCGAGTGGCGGACCTGGCGCCGCCGGTGCCCGGCGCGGCGGGCGCGCCCAGCCAGGCGATCGCGCGGCGGAGGGGGGAAGGCCGTGCAAGACCAACGAGTTCGACAACTCGCTGAGGCTGGACCTCAGCCGCCACGCCCCCCTCGGCCCCGTCCTACTGGCGCTGGCCCGAGGTCGCAACCCCGGCGCTCCGCTCTTCAGCCAGACGCTCAAGGAGCTGGCGCTAGTGTCGAAGGGGGTCGTGCAGCGCCTCGAGCTCGACAAGCACTTGGGAGACGCCCACTTGTGCCAGCTCAGGCACGGCGGCGCCTCGCACGACTACGCGTCGGGCATGGGGGCCCTCGAGGACGCGAGGCTCCGAGGGCGCTGGCAATCGCGGGGCTCGGTCTGGCGGTGCGAGAAAGGGAGTCGAATCGGCCAGATACTTCGCAGGCTACCGGACGAGCTCCGCGCCCACGCGCTGCTTTGCAAGCGCTCGCTGAGCGCCATCGTCCGCGGCCGGCCCTGTCAGGCAGCGCCCAGCCCCAGGCCCGCTTCTTCCTCGAAGGGTTCTCGGGCTCCGGGCGGCTCGGCCAAGCGGTCTCGAGAGAGGGCGTGCACGTCCTCCTGTGGGACATCGAGCTCGGGCCTGAGTGCGACCTGCGCCTGGCCCGGAGACGCAGCCGCATTCGTGGCTGGATCAGCTCGGGGAACGTGATCGGTGCACGCCTGGGGACTCCGTGTTCTCCCTTCTCCAGGGCGCGGGATGCGCGCCCAGGTCCGCGGCCTTTGCGTTCAGATGCTCTTCCCATGGGCTTGGGAGGCCTGAGCCCCATCGACGCTGACAAAGTTCGCGCAGGCAACCTGTGAATGTTCTTCTCAGCTGCTGTCGCGCGTGACGCGAGTCCTCGATATCCCGTCAACCCTCGAGAATCCAGCGCGGTCTCTTATCTGGACTTGTCCCGCTACGCTGAGATTGCAGAGATCCAAACGTATCACCGCCACTGTGACAGACTTCTGTATGTGGGGCGGGCCGTTTCGAAAGTCGACCGCGTTCCTGAGCACCCGCCTGAACCTTGCTGAGCTGGCCAGTGCTCGGTGTCTTGGAGCTAAACGTGGTGTATGTAAGCGCTCGGGGCTTCCCCGCTCCACTATCCAGGGGAAGAACGACAAGGGGGTCTTCCTTTTCGAGATCGCCGAGCCCTACCCCCTCAAACTGCGTTCCGCCCTCGCTTCCGCGCACTGCGATGCATGGGCCTCGTCAAGGGCCGAGGCTTTTGACAAACGACGTTGTGCGGCCCTGAAAGGGCCAGACTGCTGATCGGGTGGTCGTGGGTCCCGACAGTTTTGGGAGTTGCGTTTCACGGGTTTCTCGATACGCCTGTGCGTCGTCGACTGCTGCTTCGCAAAGGTGCTCGACTTGTGCCGCGCCGTCTGGCAGATACAGGAGCTCGGGGGGATGCTATGCACTTGTACTAAAATCCTTGAGAGCGTCTTGGGCCTGCCGCAGGGATACGAGCCGCACCGAAGGGGATCTCACATCCGCTGTCCGTCGTGTCCCGGCTCTAGCTTAACCCCCACTTCCCCAACCGCCCCCTGTTCTCATTTGAATTTTTGTTCCTTGCTCGTTGCTTTTGAAGGGATTTGCGTTTCACGGGTATCTCGATACGCCTGTGTGTCGTCGACTGCTGCTTCGCAAAGATGCTCGACTTGTGCCGCGCCGTCTGGCAGATAAAGGAGCTCGGGGGGATGATGATGATGCTGATGATGATGATGATGATGGTGATGGTGATGATGATGATGATGATGATGATGATGAGGACGATGATGATGATGAGGAGGAGGCGGAGGAGGGGGAGGAAGATCGGAGGAGAATGACGAATGTAGCATTTGATTGTGGGGGAGCGCATGTGGGGGAGGAGGAGGAGGAGGGAACCCTCCTCATCCTCCCAGTCTCTCCCACTGATGGCCCCCTGACTCCCCGTTTTTTCCCTGCTCCTCCTCCTCCTTCATCCCTCTCCTTGTAAGAAAAGCCTCCTTGCCGTGCCACCAGGCGTGTCGGTAGGGACTCCAGGCGTTTTGCATGGTATTCTTTCACCGTCAGCGATCCTGAAGCCTGGCAGACCCAACAGGCGCACGGGCGGAGACGGGTGGTTTTCAAACTGTGGTAGTCGTCGTTTCAGCGCCGCGCGCATTCGTTTTGGGAAGTTGCCAACAGTTTCCAGGATGGGCGTCTTATTGTTTTGAACATGTGTCTCTCGCCTTAGCGCCGCACGCATTTGTCTTGAAGAGCTGTCATAGATAGCGTGCTTGGATGGAGGGCCATTCGTTTTTAAAACTTGGCTCTGGCTTGTGGTTGTTTTACATGTACGTCTGGACGTTGAAACTTGTGCAACAGTTACGCGAGTGGCGGGCGGATCTGTTCAAAAAGGTGTCCGTTCGACGTTGTTTCCCGTAGCGAATGAGATTGGTTCTAGGGGCTTCTGAGGAGGTGACTTGGGATGGGAGAGCGTGTTGCACCATCGTTGATGCATCTTGACTTCATGTGGGTCCTCAATTCCACCCCTGCGTCTCAAGGCTCCACCTCTCCGGAATCCTCGGAATTATTTGTCTCAACCTTTGCCCTTCTCCTCTTCCCTCCTGCTCTTCCCTCCTCCTCCTCCTCCTCCTTCCCCCTGCTGCTGCCACTTCTGCTCTCCTTCTCTCCCCCTCCCTCCTTCTCCATCGCCGTGCCTTTCTCGCTGCCATTTGCAGTTCCATTAAACAATGCCAATACATTTCCCCTCTCTTCCCTGATTTCCGCCCCGTATGCTATGTTTTAGCACCCAGGACGTCAAAGAATTGATGTTTTTGCGTTCTGGTTTACCTTCCGTTTTTTTTCTGTGTTTCAAAACTGTGTTCCCGGGCGTTATTTTCTGATCGGCGCTTTGCTCCCGTCGTTTTGATTGGCGCTCTCGCCCCAGCGCGAGCCACTTTTCTAGATCCGATTATTTCTTCATTGTTGTCGCCCCCCTCATTTTCCCTCCGCCTTCCCCTGGTCCTCCTGTTCCTCCCGTTCCTTCCATTCCAGTTCTTGCTGCTGCTGTTCGTCCTCGTCGATTTCCTTCCGCTCATCCTCCTGCTCACGCGCCACCTCCTCATCCTCTTCCCTTGTCCGATTGCGCGTAACACGATGTGGTCTGTTTGTTGGAGTTGCAGGTGCAGCGCCATGGGAAGGGGTGGGGGGGAGGGATAGGATGGCAGATGAGGCGCGAGCGCACCTAGCTTAGCCCTCCCCCTCGCCCTTCCCCATCTCCTCCTCCTCCTCCTCCTCCTCCTCCTCCTCCAACGTCGTCCCCGCTTTTTCCCCTCCTTCTGCCTTTTGCCTTCCGATTCCCTCGCTCTTCATTCTTCGCTCCTCGCTCACTGCTCCACCATTCCTCCGCCAGGTGTCGGCGTGGCAGCGCCAGCGGCGGCCGCCGCGGAGCCAGGCGCGTTCGAGGGGGCGGGTAGCTTCAGAGGTCCCACGGTCAAGACGCTAAAAGAAAGACCACATCTGGCTCGGGAGGGGCTCGGGTTTTCGGTCCGTTCCTCGGGTCTGGGTCGGGGAACCTGTTTGTGGCCCAGGCCCGCCGTGGCCAGAAAAGCTCCTCCGTTCCTCAATTGGCGTTCCTTCTGGTAGCGCGTCGACTGTAGTGCTCCCCCCGCCCCACACCCCACGAGTCCGGGAGATGCGGGCTGACCAGCACAGTCGGACAGAGGTATGAGATCGAGGTCGGTTCGGGGAGGTATCTTGATGTTCTTCGTGTTTGTTGGGTGTTCTTGTGCACCCTGGGGAGGGTACCCTTGCATGTTCTGTGTGCTTTGGCCGGCGGAGGGTCTCCTGTTCTTGAGGGATGTTCTTCTGGCATAGGTCCGACTGTACCGTTTCAGCCCCCGCAGGCTTCATTTGGGCCCAGGTTTTGGTGGGCAGCGGCTCCTCCCCGTCAGGTGGGTGGAGGCTGGGAGTGGGCCTGCGGAGGTTTGGTGGTGTTGGTCAAGTTTTTGTTGTTGCCTCCTTGGTCTCTCTCTCCCCCCTCCTCTCGCCCCCTCCCCTCCCCGTCCACGTCGCCTGCACCCCGTCGTCCCCCCCCCCTTTCTTCCCCTTCCCTTCCCCTTTCCCCTCCTCCATTCCCCCCTCCT